ATTTTACTTGACTATGTTCATCTTCTATAGAAAGAATAATGTCAATAAAGTTATCTTATATTTTACTGAAATGGCCGAAAACTTAGGGTTCAAAAAGATCGGCTCGACCATAAAAATGAGGGTCCAGACAGCGGCGCATACCTGTATACTTCAACTATAGGAGTACCCCCAGACTGTGATTATAACCGGCTTTGAGACTTTTAAATAGTGTGGTGGCACTTGGCTGGTCGAGGGATACACATGTGTGCGTTCAAAGTTTTGCGGAGACATTTTGATGTCCGTGAAATCCATTCAAAGGGTACGTTCACTTGCAGTACATGGACTCTTCCTGGACGAATAAACTTCAGCTAGTCCAGAAATAAAGTCAATAATTCTCCACAAGGTGTTTTTATTTTTCCAAAACTAAAGTCCGCAATGTTAGTCATTCAGAATGCCGGTTAAAACTATGGCTGATATTTTGACTGCTATGTACTCGTCACAATTCTGGATTCTGTAGGCCCGTGTAAAGATGAATTACAAAACTCGGCTGCACATTGAAATTGTTACGGTATGCGTACGAGTTTCTAATAGACCTTGGGCTAATAGAGCTTGAAACTTTTACAAGATGTTGACAAAAAGTGCGGATGTTCCGCGTGGACACACGGGAAATGTGAAATAACCAGCATATCATCCTCTAGCGCGAGAAGAGCATATTAATCCAATCAAAGTACATTGGTATTCAACCGCCATAAATGTTTTAATTGTATTTTTAAATTAACCATAAGCAAATTGAGCAAGTCGACTGGAACATTATACCTTGAGAATTCAAGATGTGGAAAGCATACAGTATGGTTTTTTTAAAAAGTAATTTGTCTTTGTCACTCTGTTAGACCATATCGCAATTACAAAAGTATAATGCATTGCAGGACAGTTATGGCCAAGCAGGCACACTTTGTGATTTGCGGAGTATCTCAAACTCAGTATGCTTTGGAACTGCGATATGGTATCAAGTATTATTGAATGCCCTCTGTGTTGGAAAATGCAAATATGTGGATTTGATGGCGGGGTTCATTGAAACTAGAGCCTTCAGTAACATTTTAAATTCTAGGAAGTGAATTTCTTTTATATTTAATCTTGAAAATGCCACATACCAGTATATACCTTAGAAAAGACGCAATTTATGGTACCCATCCCAAGAAATTTTAACTTTTTTTTGTTAAAGAAAATTGTTTTTCCTACACTGCTAACTGCATCGAAAAGTAGACAGACTTGTAACTAGCGCAATGGAAACTGAGGAACGCGCTTGACACAACTGAATCATTG